TATATATATATATACAGTGAAACATGTATACTGTGACTACATATGACAGTACATATCATAAAGTTATTGGTACTAGTTGTGGTTCAGTATTATTCTTTTGAAATAGTTTTTATTTTTTTATGGTTTATGATTATTATATTTTCAGTAAAAATACAAACTATAAATAACACAATGAAACACTAAACTAATCACCTTGTGGCTGCTAATTGAATTACGGTAGCCCTCCAGTGTTACTTCTAATGACATTAATTATTTACCTTACGCAAAACAAACTTACTAAATGTTGACAAGCTGTACATGAGCGACTGCTAAAAGACAATTTCTCTATTGACCTTGGATTAAGGAAATTATGAGATTAACTTTAGTTTCAGTCTAAAAGACAAATATAGCCATAGATTAATTCAGATAACTCTTACTGAGACCTGTAACTAAAATATGTTTGGATCTTTAATCTTTTATTTGTTTTGATAAAGCAATTTATTCACTTCTGTATTCTGATTATATAGCTATCTGTATATCTATATCTATATCTTTATCTATATCTATATCTATATCTATATCTATATCTATATCTATATCTATATCTATATCTATATCTATATCTATATCTATATCTATATCTATATCTATATCTATATCTATATCTATATCTATATCTATATCTATATCTATATCTATATCTATATCTATATCTATATCATCTATATCTACTGTATATCTATATCTATATCTATTTAATGTTTATATATAAACTGAAATATATTTTATACAATTTAAAACGAAATTAAGGTTTTGTGTGTTTGTTTGTTTTTACAATAAAATCTACCCCAGAACCTGCTTTACTGTTTATCGGATCTGACCCTTCCGGTGAACAGCGCTTCACAGGACTTCTCCAGGATGTTCGCTTATACCACACAGTACTGAACCGCAGTCAAATCCACGAGCTTCACACTCAGCCCGCCAAGACCGACCTCCGTACCATCTCAGGTTACATGCGGTACCGTCAAAATGAGAGAGAGAAGTCTTTTGTGGTGGAGGTCAGGGATGACACTGAGGAGGAGGGTGAAGAGATCTTCTATCTGCAGCTGGTGGCTGTGCAGGGCCAAGCCCGCATCCCTGTTCCGAGGCCCACGGCTGTTTTAAGGGTCATGAAGAGTGACCATGCCAATGGGCTTTTTGGCTTCACTGGAGCCTGCATACCTAATGTAAGTCTAGTTATTCATCATTGGTTACCATTTGTGATTGACATAGATATCCTCCAATAGGAGACCAGCCCTGTCAAACATTCACACATTTGATCTCCATTGAGCTATTCATTCATTCATTCATTCATTCATTCATTCATTCATTCATTCATTCATTCATTCATTCATTCATTATTCATTCAATTATTTTTTCTTGCACTTCAATACTCTTGACTAAACAGTTTTCATATTGTTTTAAAACATTTTAAAAAACACCATGCTTTTGCAACTGAGACCTGAAAATTATTTCCCAAAGTTATTAATCAAGGGGGAATTTATTTGGATTTTTTTTTTACAACGTCCTCTCTTCCAGTTGAGTACTTTCACTATTCTCCCCAATCCCCAGGGTGAAATGATATCCTGCAACACTGTAGATATGTTCATCTCTCTGCCTCTGTTTTAAGTGCCCTCCCAGCTTCATAGAGTATCCACAGATAAAATAAATGCACACAAACATGTGTAATATTAACTCCAGAGGGTTTGTCAGTCCCTGTCCTGCTGCATATTTCATCAGCCTTCATGCCTGACTGCAGAGAGCAAGAAAGAAGGAGAGGGAGTGAGCGCACACCCTCTGTTTTTAGTTGGATTGGAAGAGTACAGCTCTCATATTAGCCCCCGCTCAGGTAGAGTGACAGCTGGTGAGGCTGCAGTCAGTGTGACACCCAGGGCATTCCTATAGAAGAGGAGCCTGAGTTCCAGCACTAGAAATGAGGGATCTTGTTCCTTGACCGTAGCAGCACAACAGGTGGCAAGGCTGAGTAACAGCATTCCAGCAGAACTGGAGAATCTCCATTATATCCTAGACTGTAAGAAGATAAAAAAAAGACACAGAGGCATGTGTGCTATCAGGTGTACCCTCTAAATCACTTAATTACTGTGCTGGAATTGGACAAAGCTGTTAGAAAAGTTAAAAGATTAGTCACATCAGTTTAGATGTTGTCAGTTTTTTTTATGTTTTTGCCCTTTTCTATTGTAGACCACTGAGGAAGGCTCCACCATCTCCTGTGTGATCGAGCGTGTGCGAGGATCCCTGGACAACGTTTATGTCAACTACACTGTCACACAACCAGACAGCTTGAACAATGATACGATTGCTCATCAGGATTTTGTTAATGCCACTGGAGCCGTGCTTTTCTTGCCTGGATGGCGGTCTGAGGTGTGTGAGCTCATGTGTGTGTCAGTGTGACTCAGCCTGTATTATTGTGGTCTCACCTGAAGAAGGGAGAACCCCTCATGTTCTGTATTGTATATCAGATGACAAAGACCAGCGTAACTCACTGGGACACTGGGTCCATACTAATGGTAGAATTTACCGCTACCACTTAATTGCAATGTTTCTTTGTAACCAGCCCCACCTAGTGGTCAGGATGTCTGTGCATTTAGTGATAGGTTAGCAGGTGGCAGCTGCACGTAAAGAAATACAGTATTCTATAGTGGTACAAAATATTAATTACACCTTATTAACTTATTAATGTGTTTTATCCTTACTTAAAATTAATGAAAGAAAATCTGTACAGACTACCATGCACAAATAAAGACCTCACTGGCCTCATTTCTAGTCATTGTACAAGATTTTCAAAGCTGCTGCTTGAAAACACTCTGATGTGTTGTCTGATGTGGAATAACACAATTTTCCCTAGAAGAGTGGATAAATCAAAGAAATAAAAAACATTAAGGAATAAATAAAAGCCAAAAATATCTTATATAGAATAGGAAATATTTATTTTTAAGTATTTTATTGTATATAATACGTGTAAGAATTGTGGAAAATAGAACAGTAGTACATCTTTTATTGACTTTTATTGTAAATTATTATATGTTCAATATAATATGTACATCCTGTTGTTAGGTGCTGAACCTAAAGGTGCTGGATGATGACCTCCCAGAACTGGCTGAGACCTTCCAGATCAGACTGGTTTCAGCAGAGTCTGGTGATGGGAAACCAGGGTCCACACCTACCAGTGGTGCAAGCATCGACCCAAACAACTCTGTCAACGTTGTCACAGTCACAGCCAGCGACCATCCTTACGGTATCACTCACATGTCCTGAAACAGCACTCTTTAGCTTATATTTATGTTAATGTTATTTAGAAAGTAATGCAGTTTTAAGTGGTCTTTAGAAATAGTATAAACCTAAATATGAACTATATTTTTATGAAATCTGTACTAATCAGTATCCATTCTTATTTCAGGTCTGCTACAGTTTCAGTCCAGAGTTCCAGATGAGGGCTTGATTCCCCCGTCCTTAGAACCTGCTCATATTACTGTTAATGAAGAAGATGGACAAATCCGTCTTCCGGTGGTCAGAGCTCAAGGTCTTTTGGGAAAGGTTGTGGTAGGATACAGGACGACCCCATTCACAGCATCCAGCCCTGAAGACTATGAGGTGAGACTCCACCTTAATTATCTTATGTTGTGTTGATTTGTACACAAATTGATAATAGAAATAGAATAGAATAGAAAATGTGAAAATATTTGTTGTTTTTTCTTATGGGGTTCCCTCATGTGACAGGACTCAGATGGTGTGTTGGAATTTCTACCAGGGGAGCGATTGAAGTTTGTCACTGTGACTATTGTGGACAATCCTGTTCCTGAGCTGGACAAGATCTTCAGAGTTGAGCTGTACAATGCAGAGGGAGGAGGTGAGGAATTTGAACCCCTGTCTTCAAACGTTAGTAAAATAAACCAGAAACCTTGCATCATGTATCCTATTTGGAGCTAGAAATTAACCTGTGTGGATTTTATTTGCCGTGTTTCTGTGAGCTTTCCTGTTTCTGCCTTAGCTGCCTATCAAAGTGTTCTGTTTCTTCTGATTTGTTTTCACCTTGTGTGATGCTTGTTGATCCTCATGTGAATCAGAGGATCAGTTTCTGCACAGTGAAGGAAGTGGTAGTGGGGAAAGTGACTATGACTTCCTCCTTCCAGCCTATTTCCATCACGGTAAGTTTCGTGCTCTTTTCCATCTCCAAACTGCTTCTTCTTCCATTTTCTTTCTTTATACCACAGCAGTTTTTACTCTGACACTGGACAACAGTTTGTGAACTCTGGTAGATAGTAAAATCATAAAGTACAAAAAGAATTATGTTAGCCTCAGAATAATTTGACAAATTAACATCACAGCAGCTCAATATAAATTACTATGAGAATTATTTTTTATTTTTCATCTAATAATTTAAGATGAAGTGCACAACACAATGACTTTTGGTGAGAATTATTTAAAAAGAAATACCCAGTGAATTTGCATTTGTGTGATTAATCCTGTATGGTATTTACATTGTCCTGTGACCTCAGCAAAAAGTATTCCAGGAGAAGAATGTGGGAAAAACAGATAAACTTTGTGTTGTGAGTGTTGGAGCCCAGTGTTTCTCACTGGGCTGCCGATACCTCTGATCTCAAATAACCTCTACATGTGGTTTAGATCTGCCTTGATAATGGTTATATATTTTCTTATATTTCTGTTCATTGTGTGTGAACAAGTATAGAATTCCTCAACTATAAAGTTACACAAAGACATATTTTTTGTGTGTTTTTAGCCAGCTTGGGAGCTGCTTCCCATATTACAGTGACCATCGCTGCTTCAGATGACGCTCATGGAGTTTTTCAGTTTAACCCTGAGTCGCTGTCTGTAAATGGGACAGAACCAGAAGATGGAGGCAGCTCTGTTCTACTGCAGGTCAGAATAATACAGACAGTATAAGCAAAAATAGGTTGATATAAAATTAACTTTTCTAACTATGGTCTCTTTCCTCTTATCTGCTCACACAGGTGGACAGGTCTTTCGGTGACCTCTCAAATGTTACTGTTTTTTGGGAAGTTGATCCCAGTTCTGGCTCAGAGCTCATCAGCAGGTCTGGAAACATCACGTTTGGTGTTGGTCAATCCTCAGGGAACATTATCATCAATGTAGCTGAGGATGACATTCCTGAGTTGGATAAGAGCTTCACTGTGTCTCTGGTTAACGTATCTCATGGTCATCTGGGACTGAAGACATCTGCAACTCTGACTGTGTTTGCTAGTGATGATCCTTACGGTGTGTTTGTCTTTGCTAATTTAACAAAGTCTGTTCAGCTTCCAGAAGTTGACTCGACTGTCTCTCTGACCATCCTCCGAAAAAAGGGCTTAATGGGTCAGGTATGTCCTGCTGTAAAAGAGGTTAAATGCTGTCAGATAAATCCAGCTATAATGACATTAAAATTATCACATTACCTTTTAGGTGCGACTCATTTATGGAACACTTAATGAAGCAGACCCAGAGCCTTACAACTTTCTTGGAGTAGGCAGAGCCACAGAGGGACGAGACTTTATTCCCCTCCAGAATTCTATCATTTTTTTGGCCAATCAGAGTGAAGCCAACATCACCCTCCAAGTGCTGGATGATGAAGATCCAGAAAGAGATGAAATTGTGTTTTTGAAGTTGATCAGTGTTGAACTTATGGAAGGAGAACAGGAGAGATTCAGTAAGACACTGACACAATTGCCAAAATATTCAGAGTATTGTGTCATTGCATATAACCATTTGGGGCAGCTAAACAAAGCAATGGATTACAGACAAATGTCTTATGTGAAGCACTAGCATTAGCTTGTGTTTCAGCTTTTTACTCAATGAAAGAAACTAAAAAAGTCATGCATGCGTGCTTTATTTACAAATTAAATTTGCAAGACAGTAAACATCCATTCTTAATTGTAAAATGTTTGAGCATTATCAATCTTGGCTGCACCATGTGACCAAAAATCAGGTGTAAAGACTATCATAACATTAGAATGACACAAGCTTTATTTTTTATTTGTTTCTTTTAGTTTCCGATTCTCCTTCCTTGGGCCACAGACCTGAAACATTTGCTCACGTGATAGTGAAGGCCAGTGATGGTGCGTTTGGAGTCCTTCAGCTGTCAGCGTCTGCTGTCAGTGTAGCTGAGGACTATGTTGGGCCTATTATAAATGTCACACGTGTTGGAGGGATCTTCGCCGATGTGTCTGTTAAGTTCAGAGCAGTGCCTGTGACTGCCAGGATCAGTGAGTGATAAAAATCAACCACTAACTTTAAATGTATAATCATTGAAGAAATTTTACATAGTAATATGAATTTGTGTAAATCCTTTAGGTGACGACTACAGTGTAGCCTCCAGTGATGTTGTTCTTTTGGAAGGAGAGTCCAGTAAATCTGTTCCCGTCTATGTCATCAATGATTTGGTCCCTGAGCTTGAGGAGACCTTTAGCATTGAACTTATTAATCAGACCACTGGGGGTGCTCTTTTGGGGGAGCTCACATATGCTATCATCACCATCCTGCCCTCTGATGACCCTTTTGGTGCCTTTGGTAAGTAATTATTGACCTATTGGTGCAACTTATATTTTTTATTTACTTTTTTGATTGTCTGTCAACATTATCTTTGTTCAACACAGTGTTCCAGTCTGCCCCAGTGGCCATAGAAGAACCACAGTCTGACTCTGTTGAAGTCACACTGCCAATAGTGCGTAACGCTGGAACCATTGGCACCGTGGTGGTTAAATGGCAGGCCACGGTAAATGGGAAACTGGCAGTGGGGGACATCAGTCCAACATCAGGAGATGTGACATTTAATCCTGGAGAAACCATGAAGAAGCTCAAAGTCAGGATATTAGCTGATGACGTTCCTGAAATTACAGAGGTATAAATAAAACAAAAGTACTCAAGAAAAATAATGATAATACAAATACTTATTTTATTTGCTGTTTCTGTCATTTGAAGATTATAAAAGTGAAGCTGACTGGTGCCAGTAATGGAGGAAGCCTTGGAGCTGACACTACAGTGAACATAACAGTACCTTCCAATGACAACCCATATGGAACTGTCTACTTTGCCCAGTCTGTTTATCGTGTCCAGGAGCCTCTGGAGGGCCGTTTTAATGCTAATATCACTGTGTACAGAAGGTAAGCGCAGATATTTATAGAATACAATTATTAAATACTCTTGGCGCTATTTCTGTGATGTTTATGTTCTGTTTATGTTTGTTTATTTTTTCAGAGGTGGCAACTTTGGACAGCTGGAGATCATGTACAGCACCTCTGAGTTTGACATTGTCAGCAAAGCTCAGGCTGAAAATCAGGATCTGTTGATGTACTATAATGTTCCAAAACCAGGTGGTCTACCTGCTGCTCTTACAAAAATGTTCAACATCACTGCTCAGAAAGATCCACTGGTTGCATGTGCTGCTGCGTGCTTGAGAGAGCAGGGCTGCCAGGCCTTCTCTGTCTCCATGGCAGTGTCTCTGCCATCGTGTATTTGGGTGACTGCAGGAGCAGAAGACCTCACCCCTGAATCACAAGTTATGACCTATTTTAAAAACACCACTGCAGCTGCGGTCCTGTTCACCGGTCAAGCTATGGCAGAGAGCGATTATATGCCAGTGACATCTCAAAGTGCCTTCATGGAAGATGGGGCACAGGACGCCAACCTCACAGTCCCAATCTTGACTGACAAATTCCCGGAAATGGACGAGAGCTTCATTATACATATCCTCAAAGTAAGTCCAAATAACATACACATGCCATTTTATCTAAGAATTTTTTGGGCAACATTTAATTAACATTTAAATATTGTTTTTAAACATTTTGTTATAGGTAACCTTGGTCAATTTGACTGTAGCTAAAGCCAATTTGCCTTCAATTGGACAACCGGACCAAGCTTTGGTGACCATAGCGATGAATGGAGATGCATTTGGTGTATTTGTTATCTACAGTCTCAGCCCTAATGCCACTGATGAGGGCCTGTATCTTGAGGTTCAGGAGAAGCCTGCTGTGATTGTACCTTTGGTTATAGAGCGAAGAGGAGGGAATCTGGGCTCTGTCACAGTGGAGTGGAGGTTTGTTGGAGGGACAGCAACACCTGACACTGACTTTACAGGAACTGGGGGCAGTTTGGTCTTTGATGGTATGTAAATAACTCAAACAAATCTGCTTCGTTTAAATGTGTCTGTAAGGTATTTGTGACAAGAATGTGAGTTATATTGTATTTATACATTGTCCTATTCACCTGCAGGTGAGCTGAAGAAGACCATAGTGATAGTAATCAGAGATGATATGGAGCCGGAGGACAGTGAGAGTCTAATGATTGGACTGGTAAATATAGAAGGAGGAAGTAGAATCCTGCCCAGCTCTGACACCGTCACTATAGTGATCCTGGCCAACGATAATGTGGGCGGCATAGTTGGATTCCATCCAACCTCACGTTCTGTCATCGCCAGAGAAGGTGTGCATTTCCTGTGTGTTGTTACTTTATTTTAAAAGAATTCAGACCTTTTCCTTGGTTCTAGTCTTTGGAGATGTCTTTCAATTATAGATGCACATAGAAGTAAGGGATTGCACTGCCAGTGTGGACAACAGGTGGATGTTGTGGTTATCTGTGGCGATCTTTACATTATGAATGCATGAGGAGTTAAAATGTGAAATTGATACGAAAGAGACTGTCACTGTCACTTGCTGTTACATATGCAGTCTTTAGGCTTAACGATCAGACAGTGTTGACCAGATAATGGCCTTTTGTAATGTTGATTTAAAAATATCAGACTTTATGTCACTTTAACCACTTCAACACAACCTAATTACTGAAGCATTTTTCAAAGCTGGCACATGGGCAAATTCTGGTCCAAATGTAATCTTTCTGTTATTAGTTCCTCACATCAGGTCCTGTGATTTTTTTTGGGGTCTGGTTGGCTTTGTTTATGGCCTGCTGGTCAGAACTCTAAACTCCTGGTTTTGAAACAAAGTAGCGAAGCTGTGGCATCAGTAAACATTAAGGACAACGTGCACATTTCCTGCTCCGTGACTTGTGGTGGTGATGAGCAGCGATTAGTGACAAGAAGCTGCCAAAGCTCTTATTTCTCTGTAGTTAAGGCTAAAAACAACTTCCTCACATACTGAAGTTTCCACACCAACCACTTAATCCTCATTCTCAAAGGAATTGGCTTAAAATAATTCTTCAATATATAAATTTCAAAAGAATTGTGAATAAGCATTTTGATGCAGAATTTACTTTAATACATGTTTTTATTGCAGGTGAAAAGCTGTCTTTATTAGTGGTGAGAACAGCTCCAGGTCTGGGTAATGTGACTGTGGACTGGACTGTAACTGGACCTCTGGTTCATCGGACCTTCACCCAAACAACAGGAACTCTGCTCTTTACTGAGGTTGATGCTGCATTGAGTTGACTATGTGGTTATAAATGACACAGCAGTTTGTATAATCGTTAGTGTTTCTATTGTTCTCTGTGGGTGGTGCAAGTTCTTTTATAGAATGAGTTAAAATAGATTAAGTCCGTTCAATGTTACAGCTATAATTTAGTTCCTCCAGTGATTATTTTGTGTTTTGCTTTGTCTTTTGAAGAAAGTACTGAATAACACCATAGTTTTGCAACTTCTTGATGACGCCACACCAGAAGACAAAGATGAATATAAAGTTTCCTTGTCCAACATAGAAACTTCTGGTAATGAAAGTTTTCATCTAAGTATATATATATATATATACATATATATATATATAGACATGAAAACACTTTTATAATATGCTGTATATATAAAATATATTAACTGACATTGGGATTTTCTTCATCAACAAAGGTGTTGTGGTGACAGGCCACGCTGCACTGGATGTCCAGGGCAGTGAGGCAGTTCTTACTGTGGACACCAGTGATGAGCCCTTTGGGCTGCTGTCAATTGCCCCGTCATCACTCAGGGTGACCACAGAGGAGCGGGACAGAACTTTAAATATCTACATCAACAGAGAGTTTGGATCCTCAGGTTAGTGTGGCCCACATAAACTAAACCACATTAATAAACTCCCACTTTATTGTGCTTGTTTCTTTGTATATAGAACAGTACAGCTCTGAAAATAAGATTTAATCATCTTTGGGTGTAGCTTATTGACATTGACCACAGGTTTGAGTGTGAGTAGAACTGGTATATTTGTCTGTATATGTGTGACATATGTGTGTATATCAGTGACTGCTGAGATTGGTTCCACATCTCCACTTGACCCTGAACTGAGGAATTAATTAAATTGGTTTGTTGTCTTGTGTCCAGGGGCAGTAAACATTTCCTATAAGACTATAAAAGGTTCTCTACAAGACCTGTCCAAGATAGAGGGTGCTCTGGCAGATCCAGGGCAAGATTTCATCTCTGGAACTGGATCTGTGATCCTTCAGGATGGTCAGACTTCTGTTGCCATCCCCGTCACCATTCTGGATGTAAAGACTGAATTACTTCATTATTATCAAGATACAGTTCTCTATATTACCACCTTTATTTCCCTATTTTTTCTAAGCAGTTTTTGTTTTGGATGAAGTCTTTGGACCATGTTATTCTTCAGATGTTAAGTTGATACCCTGAAACCTTATCTTTTAGGATGACATTCCCGAGCTGCAGGAGTTCTTCCTGGTCAACATCACATCAGCAGTTCTCATCACTACCCTTGCCATGGCTCCACAGTTAGGTAATGATTAATTTAGTAGCCTAAGCCTCAGATGTTACTGAATATCTTGCTTTAGTTTTCAAACTTTTCCTTTTTTCTGTATAATTTCCACTAAATCAAAATCTCCTTTTCTTTTCCTCCCTATTTTCTCACCATTTGCTCTTATTGATGAGTAGAGGTTGTGTATTGCACGTTGCCAGGTAAAACACCAGTACTGTTTTGTCTGAAAATTAGTTTTTGTTTGATGCAAAATATTCCATATTGATGTTACATCAAAACACTGCACCCTTACAGAGCTGGTCAGCTACTCCTGCAGTTGTATGCATATTTCAAACCACTGTCCAATTTGTGAATGAGTAACTTTAGAAAGCGGTGAGTAGACAGAAAATGACAGGCAGGCAGAACAGCACCCAGAGGCAGCAGCAGGCTCTCTGTAGGCCTTCTGCCGGGAGACGTACGGTAAACATGCAGCGGCTCTTTTGGCAGCAGTCATTATGTGGCTTGGATGGTAATACTGATGCTTTCCATGATTGTGGAAGCCTGGGGATTTGAAGGAAGCAGAGTAGTACGGTGCGGTGAGTAAAGCCAAAGCCAAACTAAACCCAGTGCTGGCCTCCCAGGGTCTTGGCAGGAGAGTCAATGGGGAGAGGAGAGTTTTCAGGGGGTCATAAATCTGTCCACTCCAAACACTTGGCAGCTTAGCTTCTCCCTCTTACTTACAGGAGACACTTCATGGCTATAATCTTTTGCTCACATGTACCAAAGCGGAAATTTGACCCTATTCCGTAGCTCATTCCTTTTCTTCCTTTCCTATTTTTGCTTTTAATGTAATCACATCTCTCTTAATTAAAAATATACTGGTATTTACTGAAAATGCTAATTTGTTTCATATTTATACCATTCTTAGACACCCAAGGTTTGGTGGCAGAGGTCACCATTACTGCCAATGATGGAATTAGAGGAGTAATTGAATGGACTAACACAATGTAAGTCAAACAGCCATATGTGAGACATCAAAATGCCAATTTCAACATGTGCAATTATGACAAATCTTTCTTGAATTTCAGGTTTGAAGTGAATGAAACAATCACGTCTCTGACTCTGGTGGCCTACAGGAGCAAAGGCACATATGGAAATGTCTCTCTGCTTTTCTACGCTCAGAATCTGGAAGCACAACAAGGGCTGGACTATAACACCAGTGAAACGGTCAGCTATACACAGCACCTACGTTCATCAGCTGAAAAGTTTGCAGACACAAGCTTGTTTGCATTTAGGTCTTTAAAGCTCAATCAGAAGCAGCTGGACAGTGAACTTTAGAAGTCCTTTAAAATTACCCGATATTTTACCTTGTAATTGTCTCTCTTTTAAACCTAATTTGTAGTGAATATTATTGTGACACAAACAGGATTGAAAGGTGAAAGAAGTTTTCACAACAGCTAAAAATCCACTTTAGCAACTCATTTAATCATAATTATTTTGATCGGGTTAATTATAAATAATGAATTATATTCTAATTAATCTTGATTAATTAAATGAAATTCTGTTATAAAAAAATGTATTCTCCGTACCCAGGTGCTGCACTTTGTGGATGGTGAAAGGCACAAGTTTGTAGAAGTTCCGATCATTGACGACACCATTCCAGAGGGAGCGGAGAGATTCCAGCTCATCTTGGCAGAACCTTCACCTGGACTGGAACTGGGCACCAACACCACAGGTTTATAAATGAATCAAACAGCAACTACAAGGGCAAAATGTTCTGATTGGATATTAAGTGTCAGGACAAATGTGCAATTCTTGGTCCAGTAAGAGGCTTTCGGTTTAATATACCGAACTTTTGATCTTAGAAAATCCATTTGGACTGACTGGTTAAGTTTTATCAGACTTTTAAATAATAATGCCTTTCCCAAGACTTGTGTTTTTAAATACCATTGATACACAACATATGATGTTAAGAAATTAACTATATGCAAGGGAAAAAGTATGTTGACCTGCTGCTGCTGTTATCATTAGAAACTGTTGCCCCTCTGTCAATCTCATTTAAACCATATTGGGTTTTTTTTCTTGTAGCAACTGTGACTATTCTGGCCAGTGACGATGGACATGGTGTAATTTCCTTCAACATTAGCGAGCACCTCTTGTTGAGAGAACCTACCTCTACGGTGGGGTTAAGTGAGAGCGTTGCCACCCTGTATGTAGTTCGAAACCCAGAAGAAGGAACATTTGGCACAGTGACTGTTCAGTTCACCATAACTGATGCTAACGGCAGCTTAGCAGAGGGCGATTTGATGCCAGCACAAGGCTTTGTGGTGCTGGAGGATGGAGTCAGATTTAAGGTAAGATAAAGCTCCTGTTATAATCGGACATCAGTATTTATATGTTACTATTTAATTTTGTGAGTTCAATGTCTGTTTCTGTTTTAGATGCTGGAGATTTGGACAATACTGGATGCGGAGTCTGAAATGAATGAAACCTTTGTCCTGACATTGTCAGACCCAACAGGAGGTGCACAGCTTGGGGAACAACTTCAAGTGCTCATTACCATCCTCGAGAACTCAGCTCCTTCTGGCTTGTTCCGCATTGGACCTACACTTAACAGGTCTCAGTAAAGCTGCAAAAACTGTATCTGTGGTAGTTTTTTTGGTACTCTGAAACCTTGGAAAGTATACTGATGAATATTTAGGTGTGTTCATGTTTTGATTTCTGTCCAGAACAAATACAGAAGTGGTTGCTGATGAAGGTGGCCAGACTGTCTTCCTCACAGTGTCTCGCAGCAATGGTCTGGAGTCCTCTGTCAGTGTGGAATGGGAAACAAATTCTAATACAGCGACTGCCTCTGGTGAGATGACACACCCTTACACATCCTCCTGAATAACATAGAGCTTTGCAATTTTCTCCTGTAATCTGAGTGTTTTTTTTTTTTTTAATTTTATTTCAAATTTCTACCTCCAGCTGGGCAACTCTCAGTTATGGGATTGTACCAAAGTTTTGAAGACCATCCCACTTCTGCTTGGTGCGTTGTCCCTGAAGAAATTTCCCCACTGGCCTTGAGGCTGGACAGGAGGCCTTCTGTTGGATACCCACACACCCTGGCTACGTTGTACCGTTGGCAGGGTGTATTTGTCTCAGTGGAGGTAGGAAAACTGAAGCAATGTCACTGAGATAGCAGGTTGAAAGATATTGGGGAAGGTGAAAATAAGAAATGGGATCAGGCCTTTGGCATCTGCTGAAAAGGGTTGACTTCAAATCCAGCTGTGTACCATTGTTTTTATGGAAAAGACAACTAATCCTGCTGCCCATTGTTCCCTAGCATCATTGTCTGGCAGTATTGTTCTGGGGAAACCCAAATGTTCAGCAGTGTAATCTAAATGAGGTAAATAATAATCTAGCATTAATGTCTTTCTCTTTGTCTCTCCAGTCATTTAGAATTCAAAACCCCAGCTCTTGTGTTGGGTTTGTGGCAAATGGTTCAACCTACATGGGTATCACCCACAGTGGTCCTCCTTTTTCTTCTTCTGTCAACCTCAGCATTTTTAAGCTGCAGAAAGACTTCAACATTACCCTGGTAATTTTTAAAAAAAAATCTGTCCTGCACCATTACAGTTTTTCACTGCCCTGTGTTATTTTCCAATGATCTGAGCCATTGCACATGTTCAGGAACAAACTCTGGGTGTGGAATCCTGGGAAGTTAAACACTTCTCTGCTGAAGGAAGAAATTATCTAATCGTTGCAAAACAAGTGAGACTGACCCCCCTGTATTGATCATATAAACTTAGTGACTCATTCAACAATAACTTAATGTCTGTTTTTTTTTAATGCAACAGATTTTTGTTTGGAGTGATGGATCCTTCACACTCCTCCGGACTCTTGACTTTGAACAGAACATTGTCAGTGTGACTCCGTTCACTCGGGCTGCACTTCACTACCTGGTGGTTTGCACAGACAGTGTGACTGTCAGTTGTTTTCTGCTTCAGTGGACAAAAGAAAGGTTTCAAGATCCGAAACCACTCCCTGTCTCTGGCAGAACCAGTCAGGTGGAGACAGTCGACATGGCGACAGAGGACACTCTCCTGTTTGTAGCTGTTGAAGGTGAACATCTATGCTTCATTTCACCCCACTTTAACTTCATACCTGATAATATATCTACTATTGGCAGTAATATTCTGAATTTTCAGAGCTAAGTGTACTTATTCTGTTATGTTAAGTGGGTTTGTTTGTTTTTTGCAGTAATTCAATGCTATAATTTATGTGTGTATTCTCAATGTGTGTTTGTGGAGTTTTTGTCGGTTTTGGTTGCGGTGGATTGTGGTGCAATGTTGGTTGGTGTACTTTATATAAATCAGCAAAGACTGAAAAAAGGCACATTGTAACTATGCATTTGTTACCAAACCTTCTGCTTGTTCTTTTTCATATTCTAAAAAAAAAAAAATCACAATGTAGACCCACACACACACACACACACACACATATATATATATATATATATATACACACACACACATATTTATGTCAGACTCTGTCTATTTTCTGATGGGACATAATCCCTCTGAGTCTGCAAAAATGGAGTGTTTGTTTGGGTCAGACATGTTGTGGGTTTTTACGGGAAAGGCCTCAGGGCAGAGAAGAGACGAGCCACAGTGGGACGTGGAGGTTGTAATTTGTCAGTCTTGGGTGTGTCACTGAGACCTCAGTGCTTACTTCACATAAACAACCTCTTCTACCAGGATCGGTCTTACATCTGTGTCTCTGCAACCTTCTCCAGGTCTGTCCACATCCTGTGAGGTGCTTCAGTGGAGGTCAGAACAATCTTTACCATGGCACCATCAGTCTATTCCTCACCAAGGCCTCACTTCTGTTTACCCCTTCAAGTCACCGTCTGGAATCAGTAAGCACAAACATTACTCATTTTTGTGCAAATAATCTGCTGAAGTTGGTTTGAAATCAGTTCAAACCTGCAGCTGCAGACACAAGTTAATGAGCCCGATTAACGACCTAACGACCGATTAGCCCGACACGACCTAATAGAACTACATGCAATTGCCCAGACTTTCTTCAAATGTTTAAATTAAATTAGAAAATATATATATATATATACTTAAATTTGTGTAAAGGTAGCATTTTGCTTTAGTGTGCAGATTTGAACATTGTACAGTTGAGGATGTGTGTCAGTTTGAATAATCCACAGAGCAATACATA